TGTTCTTCCCCCCCCCCCCCCTGTGACGCTATGATATTTCTTCAAATGTCACTGACGTAGGCCTTTTGTCTCTCCCTGTCTCAACAGCTCCAGAGGACAGGACCGGTCTCGGAAGACGAACAATGGATTGAGTCTTTTCGTCAGCGCGGACGCGGCAGGAGCGGAGTAGTCGACCCCGCGCCGAGGGACAGGCGACGAGCGGCGTGCGACGAAGACGACGACACCGAGTGGTGGATGTACCAGAACGGCTTCCTCGTCTACCAGGTTCGTCCGCTTTTGCCACTCATGCTACTTGTGCTTCCTGCGAGTGCCCAGTGTGGATGTGCGTCTGTGTCTGTCGGTTCCGTGCACGGTGTCGCATGGTTCTTTGCCCTTTGTTTTTTTCGGTTGCGCGGAATTGGCGACGGGGTCTCCCTGAGGAGGCGATTACCTGACTGCAGACGTCATCAGCGCTCCGTTTCTGGTGGTTATTTTCGCTGAGACGTTATCCTGTTTTTGTTTTGTTTTTTGCTCCTTTGTTTTTCTGAGTTTTCTTTCATTCTCGACATACAGTACTTTCAAGCTGGAAAACGAGATGTGCGAATGCGTATTATTGCGCTGTTCAGTTAATTTGAAGGGATGTGTGAGTTTTTGAATTCAATCAGCCGAATCGGGAGTAAGCAATTTAATGTAATTTCTCTTTTCGGATGACTGATCCTAGACCTCTGATCTTGTCGAGTCTCCTGACATGCTGAGTTTTCGTATCCTTTTCGTTCCCCGCCTTCGCCGCATTTAATTTTAAACACGGTTTCGATCGAGCTTGGAGAGCATTGCTAAATTCCGTTAATCCATTGATAAACTGTGGATCGAAAGTTTTACATTCCCTAAACAATGGACAATGGAGATGTTATGCGTTATTCAGCTAAGATGAATGAATGCCTGCATCTCTGAAGTTAATCGCCTGAATGATTACGCAGCATTTCAAGATGGATTTTTTCTTTGTGTAAGTGACTCCAAAGCTTTTATCTTGCCAACTTTCGAGGTAAACTGCGTTTTTCATTTGTGTTGATTCCTCGATCTCCGTTGTGCATTTCATTTACGTCATGCGTGATGAGCGACCGAGCTTGGCTAGCGAACTTAGCTTAGTTCAGACAGAGGGGTACGCATGAGGGCGGTTTTCACGTTTTTGCAGCAGCATGACGTACTTCAACAGGGATTTTTGGATTGCGAAAAGATTTCGGCCCATAATCTCAGCAGGCAACTTCCTTCGAGTGCAGTTCAATGTCCTTTCCAGCGACATCAAATAACTTTTAGACGCGTGAATTCATCCATTGAAGATATGCTCGAAATTTATGCTTGAGTGTCCGGAGGATATTACGGTCTTGGGTACCCGAGCATGTAAGTAAAAATCCTCCGATCCACTCCAACATCAATCGAGACTTGAAGCGATATTCTTTTCCTTACAGGCATGGAGTACTTATTGTTCAACAGATAAATTCTGATGCAATCTTCATATTCATGTTCATAAACTCCGAAATTGTCATGACGCATCTAAACATATCCATGGTGCACGGTTGTCATAAAACCTGAAGTGACCTTCGATGCTTTCTCTTACTGTATTTGATAAGTCTACGGACTCCATAGATCCGTGCAAATTATGAACATGAAGGTTGACGTCTGATCCTCAATCACACTATGACTTTGTCATAAAAACATAGTATGCTTTTCCAACTCTCCGGAATCTTTCTATTTTAATCTTGATTGGAAAAAGTTGGAAGGTTGATCAATAAATTATTCAGTTTATCTACCTTTGTGCATCTCCAATTATAAAGAGCTAACAACTTGCGGAACTTCTTAGATTGTTGTCGTAAGTTGCAGATTCAGATTTAAGCATCCTGCGACCGACGTTTGCCTAATTTTTGTGCAATCCATTTGAGAAAATTCTCAGTTTCCAAATTCCATCAGCTGTCTTTTCTTAGCAATTCAAGATCGACTTTGCTTCGTGTAACTACTGACCCCAGAGCTTTATTTCTGCCAAATCGCTGTCGGAATTGCGAAAGATATGAAAGAATCATTTTGCTTAGGAAGTTGCCTGGCTGTTCACGTGGAATGATCATGAGTGAACGGATTTCGAGATTTTCTTCAAATTCCCGATGATTGCGCTACGAAGTAATGAGGAAGCTTTTTTCGTTGGGTTAGGTCGGGCTATGTTTTTTTCGGAATTTTTCGCGCGTGAAAAATGACGTACTTTACTTTGTGGTGCGCGCATCAGCGATTTGAAAGGAATGACAAAAAAATTAATGCAGTATTCGGCAATTTTTACTTGTCCTTTCTCCACAGTACACTGGATTCGTTGATGGTTGTGTCGTCGATTTTGTTTGAGCGGGAATTTTTGTTGTACAGTGATCCCGCCTGAGTGGAAGGATGAATAACTAATGAGACTCGTTTTCCGCCTGCGAGCGTGTATGTGTACTCGCGAGACGTACTGGATTACCGATCAGGATGTGTGTTGAGACAATCCGAGTCCCGAGAAATGCTGATGGTCTGGTCTTCGCTTCCCCTGCGGTTGTTTGCCCTCACTGTCCCTTGCTAACTTTCGCGCTCGGAGTTTCCATCAGGTTGATGAGCTTCGCTGGCAGGAGAAATTCAGCTCGGTTCCTTTGCGAGGGAAAATTTATGTGGGCGGAGGACTGCCGCGATCGGGGAAATTGAGTCCGCTCGGATGATTAATCTTTGGGCCTGGATGGAAATCGGGGCCCTAGTAACGATAGGCAGCAGTTTCTCACGGAAATCCGCATTTGGGCATCTCCGCTTTCGTTGACACGTCGGTCAAAGACGAGCGCGTTTCTGATCAATCGGAGCATCGCCACCCGACAGCGACTCGAGCCGGTTTCTCTCTTGAGGTCACTTCAGACCCACGTTAATCCTCACTTTTTCTTGCATCCTGAGAATTCAAACCCCTGAAGATGATTTAAATACTGCATTCGCAATTCTGCTGCACACTGTATTTACGCGATGATAGGACCTTACTTTCCCCTCTCAAACGCAGTGCTGAGATTTGCATTGAGTAAAGAATTATCACGTATGGCTGGAAAAGCTTTTCAAGTTTGTCCTGGCATGGATACGTCAGATGAGTGAATGACTTCTGTTCTTGGTTTAAAGTAATACAAAATTCAATTTTCAATTTATTTCGCAAGCTGCTGACGTTCTTCTGAAGCAAGAGATTATTCTCAAATGTGCGACACTGCTGTTGACAAGATCCCAGACTAAATTCAATAACTGTCATTATATTTGTGTGGGTCACATTTCCTCGAGTATAACACCTTCTTACAGCCTATTCAATTGTCTCGTTGAGGTATCTGCCAAAGTCAGGATGCGGCCTACGAATGACCTATACTTGCGTAAATACGGTGTCGGTTTTCGGTTTAATATCTAACCTAAATTTGTCGGCCAGCTCTGAGAAATTCTGGCTCGGAAATTTAGAGAGATATTTGTTTGTACTGTAGTTCCAATTTTTCTGTGAGAGTGGACTTTTTCACTGCGATTGCTTTGTGTCGGAATACGACGTTGCAGTTCTCGAAAATTTTTGCGGTTCCAGTTAATACTGTGGTAGCTCAGAGGGAAAAATAACTTCGCCCTCATCGTAATCCTTAATTTTCCCCACATTTTACCGCTTGAGTCGTTATTTTACCCTCACAGTATTTGTAGACACGCTTTGGAAATCATGAGTCTCACGAACTTGTGCAGTGTGCAGGTGTGTCCAAAAGATAATAGAAAGGTTCTCTGCAGATGCAGGAAGAGATAATCTTGCAAAATTCGGCTGTTTTTATCCTACCTGTTGTTAGCTTCAAAAACCTAGAAAGTAACACTTGTTGATGCAAGGCTTGCATGGACAAGCTTTCTTCGGACACCCGAAGAAAACAGTAACGCTCCCAGGTACCTTATCACAGAGTCTTCTTCGTTCTTTTCATAGTTGGAAGTTTGCGACCACATCTGTTTGAAATAATCAAAATGCTCCTTGGTTCGTGCTAATTACAAGATGCCTTCTTAGGATGATAAACAGAAATGCCTGATAATTTTGACTTATTTGTTATGCATTAGCTGATTACTACAGTAATACAGTATTTTAATGCATACAATCGCCTAGACAGTACTGTACACTTTGCTAAAATCTTTGATTTAAAATATTTAGGACGCTTTTAATTACCTGATCGACTTGAAATTAACGCGAGACTGTATATGAAATTATGATGAAAAATAAAAATAAGCATTCTGGGGTAATTAAAAAAATGTATGTGATCACGAAAGGCCAATTGATTGCCAATTCTACAAGAATGTGTTGAGCTCGCATTTTTGGCAGAAACAAATATGCACACGCTCTAGTGAGTATATGTGGGATGTGGCAAAGTGAATTCAATTCTGATTGAAACAAGGTGGTTCTACAGCATTGCATTTTTATCTCTTCAAGGAGAAATATTCTTAGATTAGACTGGTAGCTCAAAAGCTTATCGAGGCATGTACTCTACTTCAATTGTTTTACCGTTACCGTTGTCTTGAGACTCCAAAGTAGGCTTTATCCGCTTCAAATGAGGCTAGGATCCTGAACTTTTTTTGTTGAACCGAAGGAGTTGAGTGAATATTTTAACTGTCTTGCTGTTCTTATAGAATGTGATCTTGTTGAACGACTGGGGATCGATTAATTAAAAGGCTTGTTACGCTCAGAGGGTTGAACGACCCGTCGGCACGATGCTCGACCTTTGACGGGATTCATAAGGGATGCACCGAATAACTGCTAACAAAGGCTTCATGTTTATTAGAATCAAATTATTAGCACCAGCTGTTGTGATGCTCCCAAACCATTACTCAGACCCCTGATGCGTGAGATAACCGACTCGATGCCCGGGAAAAAAGAGGGGTTTCGATCGCCTAACTTCGCAAAGGAAATTATAGTACAGTAATTCTCCACACCACCCGGTTTATGCAGTTGCTTCCTCGCATGCTACCGGACGCATTGCAATTATATGTTAACCGGTAGACGGATAAGTTATCTGCCCGCTGTCTTCCGCCCGGAATCTGGTTCATCTCTTAATCCAGTGATTGCTGCAGAGTCTGGCTGGATCAAGCGTTGCCCTGTCCTCTTGGTTGCGAAACTGGCGGCTTGGAGTGCCTATTGGCGTAAGCTCCTGCGCAACTTGACCTCTTCCGTTTTCCCTTGGGGAGTCATGTGTAGTGGAAAGCGTGCTAACTAGCCGCCGGTGCGATCTAATCAACACGCCCGATCGTGCTCTCGTTGGCACCTTTTTCGATTTCACCCCCCCCCCCTTCTTTCTCCTTAGCATTTCGATCATCTCGCTGCAATCCCGCCTAATCCGCGATCATAAATTCTTGTCAGTTCGCCCGCTTGATTGATCCGAGTGATGCCGTTTGATCAAAAAATGGAGTCTTGTTTGAAAGCCACGGTGCAGTCCGCACAAATTGCAATTTCCCTCAAGATTTTAGCCAAAGTTGTCGCGTGAAATGTGACCCATTTTTTCACGTTTTGAAGGTGCGATGAAATTAATTTCCCTGCGCGCGCTGAAGTGTGGTGTTTCCCGCCTCACATCCGAGTTCTTCCTTCGAATCGAAAATCGCTAACTTTCATCTAAAACATTTGGCCGTGTTGCTTACGGAACCGTCCTAATGAGAGACGGTGCCCGAGTGAATGCTGTCGCCTATGTAGGCACTCAATTTTCGTGCTTTTACCTTGACACGGCTCGGAACATATCGCATACTTTCTGGTCATTAAAAAAGTCGCTTTTTAAAAAGTAAACTTACTAGCTAATGTGACCAATATCTCGATCCACGAAGTAGCGAAGTTATTCCGTTGTTTCGTGTTTGAATTTGTTCGTTCTGTCCGATTCAGAAATATCTGCCTACTTCGCCGAACTTCTGTTAAGAAAATGATAAGATAATTTGTGTCGGGAGATCCGGAGCATATGCAGTTAACCCTATTTTCTTGCTTCGGATGCGTAGTTATCACGCATGAAGCTCTTCTGAATAGGACGAAGAAGATTGTTCCAAATCGAAATTAAATCACCAGAATCAGTCGAGTTTCGCCTGTCTCCCCACTCCCAATACATAATTTGAAATTTCTGTTGGATTTACATGAGCTGGTGAAGTAAATTCCATGGAGCTCATCACATTCAACGCGTCAGATTATTAATCTTTGGAAATGACGCGACCCTGAGTTAAAATGCTGTAGCCAGTTTCAAATGCCGAATTCGTAGACGAGTTGAACCGAAATAAATTAAATCAACACGACTACCTGTCTGCTACGTCCAGTTGTTTCTTAAACTTTCCAGAGAGAAAAAAAAAAAAGAGGAAAACGCAGCTGTTCGTCGTACGAGAAATTCTGATGGGGTTTCTTCGCTTTTTCCTGAATTAATTTCCACAGAAATTCAAGCATCTTTTTATTCTTCTTTTTTTTAGCGAAAAATGCATCCTATGCTCAGAAATAATTGCTATTTTTTCTGAGAGTGCTGTACTGTTTATACCAAAAGTGCTGTATACAGTACAGTATTAAAATTCTAGATGTAGTGCATGCACATCGTACAATAATCGTCCCACTCACCCGTTGCACTTGTGACTAGGAAGTTCTGAGACCGTTTAGTCAATTTCATTACAAGCGTAAAATATGGTATACAATATACAGGTACCCCTCTCTACATTCTAAAAAAATTTGAGGGGGGACTGGAAAATATCGTTGTGAAGAACTTCTATAATTTGGGTAGAAGCCCCTATGGGAAGAAAATATCTTTTTACAGAGAAAATTGTTGTAGACAAGATCCTCGTTGAGAGTCTACCTGTATATACGATATGCAGTATTGACTGAATGCTGTACTGTACTCGTATTTCTTAAGTATTAGCGGACCCAGTTTTGTCGAGGAATTTGGAGGGAAACGTGCGGCCTGTGATCGCGTAGTTAAGTTATGGGTGAGGATCATTTTTGAGCTCGAATGAGTAGACAAGATGAGGATGAGTTGTTCGGTTCGGTTCGCGTGTGATTCGATCAAGTTCGTTAGAGTGATGATGTCGAGAATCGTCCCGGATATTCCTCAAGAGAAGTGCCTGCGAATTAGTCGACCTGGTTCCCGTTTTTGGGGTGAATACTTTTCGTTAACCTTGGCGATGCGTGAATGGCGGCGGGTTTATCAATCCATCGCGGCCGGAGCAGAAGAAAAAAAAACCTCGCGGGAGGGGGAATGACTCGGGCGGCAATTACCGTTGTCCGGTGGTGATGAGCGAAGACCAGCGCCGGGAAGGAAAGGGGAAGGGAGGAAAAATTTTCGTCGCGAAGTCGCGAGGTGTGACACCGAGGATGCCTGGCTAGGGGAGTGAATCGGTGTATTCGGGGGCGTGGCGCAAGCCGCCGCGAGGCACGGTGCGGGGCTGCAGACCGGGAGCACCATGGAATTCTTGACAAGTGATAGTCTCCCGGCGGCCACCGGTGGCTGATGACCAGCTCCGCGTATTCTCTGTGCACTCGAGGCGCTTATGTGGATTTTCTGTGCGCAGAATTTTGTGGGAGCCAACAGTGGGTGCTGGTGGAATCGCGGCTTGCAAGTTGCCTTGCACGGCGCCACGTTCGCTGGTTGGGCGTCACCGGGAATACTGTTGCTGTCGGGCAGTCCGAGGTTGCTGGAGCCTTTCCGAACGGCGTGGACCCGACGAGTCCTGCGTCCCCCACCCGGCTACATCATCCTTGCCATGGGTGAGTCTTTTTCGTGTATTGTACTTGTACTAAACCATATTTTTCATCCTGACAACCCCTCCCTACCCAAGTAAAACAACCGAAACGTTCAGGTTGGTCGCAGTGGAATCTTTCCCACCTCCCAAAAATGCTGGTGTGCTCTCTCTCTCTTTCAACGACTTCCTCTAGAACAGATGTTCTCGACCATTTTGACTCCTGGAGCCCATTTTACAGACAATGTCTATGGCCTCCCTCGCCGGTGTCGCGTTTATTTATTTTAATGTTCGAAAAAATATGCAATTTATCCTCTTGTGTGTCTCGAGTGACCATCATGGCGGCCCTTGCTTTTGATCAAAACCTCCACTTCTTCATACAGCAGAATTCCTACGAGAAGGGGTAATTACTTGGTGTCTTTGCGCTGAAACTTTTTCTAGCATAGCAGTCGCAAGAATATTTCTAGAAGGGGTCTCCAACATATGGTAAAACTGTTCCTAGTTTTCACCTCTATTTATATAGTTACAATATTAGCATTTCCGAAGATATCTGAAGATTTGCCTGGATAGTCATTCAACCAAGGGAAAATAAAACGGCTCCGGCTGTAATTTAGGCGAAGAGCTGCTGCCTTGTTTTCTCTGAGTGCATCAACGTTTGGGTACGGTTAGCAAAAGTAAGGATAAACAGAGCTTTACGGTACTGAATTTACCGTACTTGAAATTAAACTTCAGCCTGTGGGAAGTTTATGCATAGCCTCTGAGAATCTGCTGAGCGTAAGTCGGGATTTTTTTTTCCACAGAAATTAAATACAGAACAGTACAGCACCTGCATTATGTGCGCAACTGGATTTATTTATTTTTGTTCCCTGGCAGTTGCAGATCGTCTATTTATGTGTAAGCAGCTCCTCTACAAAGACATGTTCCATGGAACTCTTATTTTAACCTCTTTGAAAGGGGTTTTGAGAAAATCCGCCTTGATTGCATGTACGGTACTGTAATACGAGCCTCTCGACTTGAAAGAAATATGTACTGTAAAAAAAAAAAAAAATACCTGCCGCGCCGCGAGACTGACGAACGCGGTTCCTGCGCATGCTTATGGATGTAACTTTCGCAGCCTTCATCAAGTGAACCTCTCGACGACTTTTTTGTTTGATGCTCGTGTAGCGGCATTTCACGTGCATGAATAACTGCGCTTTTATTCGTGGAAGTATGCAAATGTCCGTAAGCCGATGCATTTGAGAGATACGGGGAGGAAAATACGTTTGCGTCAATCACAGGAATGAACTGCATAAACGATATGTCTTTGGAGTGAATGGTCGGAAGATCGTGTGTTTACTGATGACTTGAATACGGTTTCACGTTATTTCCCGAATAATGTGCGTCATGAGCATGCACTATTTCATTGATGTGGATGGCTTGATTTTCATCGACATGGCAATTATCCGCAGACTCATAAGTTTTAGTTTTCAGTTTAATGTTGAATTACAGTATAAGAATGTCGTCCAGCGAATTTTTACACACTCACTCCAAGATCTGATGAGGTTCACCGACAAAACTAGCTCAACCCAACGTTGTTGTAGTAGAAGTGACAAACCCATACAGAAACAGTGAACTCAGGATACTATTTTCTCCGAGATTTCGTCCGGGAGAAAACTGTGCCAACAACGGGTTTTACCACTGAAACTAGGCAGTTCGGAAAATGAAAAGAGTCCGTTCCAGAACACTTGATTGTGGTCATCTATCATTGCGAGGTAATAGTCACCCGCCGAAAAGAAATTTCGAAGATTACTTTCGGAGATCTCCCACATATCTCTCAAATACATGTATAAAATGAATTTATTTTGCTTCCCTCGCATATTAGTAATTTTCCCGGAAAATAATCTGTTTGATATGAGGCACTTTTTTTTAAATTACGTGGTATGTTAAAATAGTGCCAAGATTCATTTAACTTGGGCAACTTTTGTGGTCATTTTATTGGCGTGGAAGAAATGTTGAATTTGTATGCGTCTATGAACTGTGTGAACTATCAAAAGTTATAAACTAAACAAAAAATAAATAGTATATAAATAATCTGCAAATTCATTTCGGTGTTAAAATTTATGACCTTCGAGTTTTCTGGTACATGGTAGAAGTGTGCGTTCAATTGTTTCCGCGATCATTTACGTGGCATTCCCTGTGATTATCGTGTGATGACTGGTGTTGAACAATGCCGCGTTGGTTAAAAATTTTTTGAGGTCCAATTCACTAATGATGTAAAACTGAGAACAACCTTAATGCTTTAAAAAACATCGACCTCGTCGTCCTCCATCTTCAGTCTTTCAGTCCACTTTTCCTCAACTCTTTTCGAGGTTGATCATTCAATTACACCTGCTTTATCCTCTATGCAATTAGCTAAACAGTTCTCGCTTAGAAGTGGGTCGAGGCGCTAAATTAACTTCAATGAATTCTAGTACCGACGCCTCCGCCATGACCACGGAATATTCAACTGAGCCCAGACTGTGATAGATAAACTCGTTTCTCCTCGCACTTTAATGGCTCCACTAACTTGCTCACAGAATGCCGCATTTTTCTTGGGAAGGTGCTTTCCTGGGATTAATTTGATTAGTAAAATGAGCATACATAAACCCACATTCTGAGTATGATAAAACCGGACTCTTGTATTCTTCGAATTTTAAAGCAATGTATGTCACGATTTATTATTTGAAAAATGTTTGTAAGCCGGTCGAATTCGACAGTAATTTGATTGAGCAAGTCCTTCGTCATATTCCACTTCAGACTCACGGAACTGCCGGAAATGCCTTGTCACGTTCCACAAAGTTTGAACTAATTCTGTGAATTGGCTTCTGGAGGATTTGTGGAAAGAATTGCCGAGCTTTGCACCGTATGTGTCATGTTATCTCGTGGTGGTAGAAATGAACGGTTCGTTTGCGTGGTTCAATCCTTCCATTGACTGAGGGATTCTTTTAGTTTATAGTTTCAAAGTAAATTTTTTTTGCTGAAAACGTACGATGCAACTTTTAATTGAGCAATGAGCAGTTTCCTAGCGTTAGTCTCGTTCCTTTTTAAGCTAGACTGGAGGAAAATTGATCGTATGATCCTCAGCATTTTTGAAAAGTAAATCCAAGTAATTGCTGCCATTAATGTTCATCGCAAATGCTACACAATCATAATTGCTCATGGCAGAGTTCAACGCCGATTTAGCGTTGTTACATGGGGTTATTTTAATAATTTCCCTTGAAATGACGCCGTCTGATTAAGCCTGAGGGAAGCGGCGAGGCGCGGGTTCAGTGAATGCTTGCTTCGGGCAGTAGACTCCATACAATCGGTCGCAAAGAACCTGTTACACTTTCTCCAATCGCACATACGGAAATTAAATTTGAACGATACAGAGATTAGCATTGCCCCTGCGCAACGATGACGTGCAAAATGCGAAGCGTTCCACATTCGCCGCTAATTGTGCAGCCTTATCTTGGGACAAGACAGGGCCGAGAAGGGAGCTATTAAAAGGACCGTCTAGAAAAAATAATAAAAAGAAGTTAGAGCGTGTCCCGGAAATCGTGATTCCTTTTCCTCCTGCTCGTCGCGTACGTGGTGTTGACGTAGGTTTTTTTTCCTCTTTCTGGAGATCACGAGTTACCTGGGTCGTCAGACTTTTTTTTTTCATTTCGTTTTCACTGGTAATACTGTCTGGTTCCAGCTGTCAGCATTCGGCGCCTTGCTTCCCTCGCCTTTTTCCCCCTGCTGATGGCAAAATCAAACAGTGCCTTGTGTGCTGAGGGGGTCTCGAAAAGTCTTGGGTGCCTCCTCGAGATGTACTGATTTTCTCTGCTTGAAAAATAAACCACCGCGGAGATGCTGAACTGCGAGGAGAAATCTCGTTCCCTGACTATGCTAACGCGGGCCTCGTAACAAATGGCAAAAGAGGCTGCGCATAATTTTTTTGATGAGCCTCGCCGCCGTATTCAAAGCCAAGCGAGGCGATGCTTCGGTGTCTGGGGTTAGTGACTTCACAGCTCTGCTACGTCGTCGTTAAAATCCGCAACTGCCAGCTGAGATTCATTTGATAATCTCAGCACCGAGTCGTAATCAATGATTCTATTAATTGCTGGCGTCTTTGACCCTCAGTTCGGGATTACTTTAACGAGTACGAATTCCCCGGAAATTTCGAGTACTCGACGAGAATGGCAGAGGGTCGTTAAATGTCGCGAGGCATTGTTGCCGCGACTCGGTTCCTGGACGAAATGCGCGAGCGTGTTGTGTGAATTTTGTGAAGTCACTCGCAATAAACGCTGCGAGTGGATTGAACTCCGTCTCCGCTTGTCGGTATTCAAAGTCCGTTGTCCGCTAGATGGAAAGGGGAGGAACAAGCGTTTAGATTCGGCGTTGAGACCGAGACGCTTGTGCATCTTTTCACTGCGCGGCCTACTTCGTGGGATTAATTCTGCAAGCCAGGCAAATGCAGCGCGATGTTTTGGGCGTTGTTCGATCGCAGCCCGCGGTTTCGTACTGACGACCGAATGGCGGGGGGTTCCACCGGACGTCCGGACTGCTCTCGCACCTGCTTGCGCACTAACCAGCTCGCGAGGACCCGATTTTGGCGAGAGAGCACACCTGCGAGTCGATTGCGGAAGCGCCGCTGCTTAAATTCCCTCGTGGGCGTCCGAGGTGACCCTTTTCAAATTCGGGTACCCATTGTTTCTGTCGGCTGTTTTTTCTTTCTCCTTCTTTTGCCTATCCTATTCTCGCTTTTTTTTATGGCGGGAGGTCCGGGTTTCCGGCGAAGTTCCTGAAAAATAGCCCGGACAATGTGCGCGGCCGGGAGGGGAAAGGAGGCATGCTTTGTGTTGGGTTATTGAGATGCAGAGGAGATCTAGTGTGTGTGTGTGTGTGCATTTCGCAGGTGATGTGGAGGAGTGCTGTATCCGTGGCGTGCCACAGGGCCAGTTTACTCCGTTGCCTGACGCTCTTTGCTGGGTCATCCACGACCTGCTGCACTCAGAGTCGGGCACGGCGACTCTGGACCGCATTCTGGCCTCGCTCGGCGACTACTTTCCGGAAACCGTCCGCCCGTCCAAGGACCTCATCTACGTCACCCTCGGCAAGCTCATCCGTGAGCGCAAGGTCAGTCACCACGAGCTCGTTGAGTGGCTTCGCAGTAGCCCGCTTCTGCCGCATACGGCCTATCTTTGTTCCGACTGCCCTCAGTTTGGCCTGTTTTAACTGCACTGCCATCCCGCTGCACACAAAGGCTCATAAAAATCGCCACGGAGCAACCACGGGTTCCACAAAAGCTTCCGTAAAGCGCGGGCGAATTGAAAAACCTGCCTCTGTTGGTTGTTAAGCTCAAATTACCTTCGATGTGTTCCCTGCAACCTTTACCGGAATGACTCGTGAGATTTCAGAGCCGGACGAGTCCAGCCGACGGCGAATTTACCTTCTTCAAACATCCGTGCGGAATTTGCATACCTTTCGCGTTAAGAAATATAATTGCACTTCGTCTGGGTCCCCGGCTAAAGTAATTTGAAGACACGAGGCGCTTTTCCCACGAGCTACTTGCCGTGATGAGCGATGACTTCGAGGCGTGCGCATTGTAGAGACGAACTGCCGTACAGGTTTTATTCATGAAACAGATCTTAACGCGGATTCGTTAGTCGTTGCCTGCAATCTGATTTTCGTTTGCGCCTCATTTACGCAACTGAATCTCTCGGGCGCACTTGTAGCTTATGACAGCAGTGGAATGTTGAACGAAACAATCTTACGTGCTGGGGGCGAGAAAACTTGCCTCCCTTCTCCTCGGTTGTCAAAAGGTTTTTTTTTTTTTTTTTTAAGAAATGTACTGTGTCGATTCCTTGATTTTATCTTCGTACAGTTACAGAAATTTTTCACGATTTTATCAGCCAAGGCAGAATTTTTTGCGTGACAACCTCGTAGTAATTTTAAAGAAGTTATCAGAAGATTATTTTGGGAGTGTTCTGCCAAAATGCGACAGGAAATATGATTTTGTCAAACTGAAAAAATCTAATATCTCTCAATGCACTGGAGCCCCGACATGCGTACTTGTGGGCGATTTGACTATTACGGAAACCTCACCACAAAAAATTTGCCCCCACATCCGAATCTTCTCGAGATACGGAAATTCCACGGTTATTTCCGACGAATTAAAAATTGAAATTTCTTGAGCGAGTTGAGTTATTTCTGCGAAGAATACTCCGAAATATGTATTGTCATAAATTTACTTCAATTCATATTCTAAAACAGGCTAATTTTGTGCTTCTCTTTTTATTTATTTTTTTAATAACCTAAGTACAGCACGGGAATATGTGTGCGTGTTGTTTAGTTTTTGGAATCTCTTTCTTGTCAAAAGGTAGATTGTGCGTCTTTCTTCTTCACTGTTTTTTGTGTATCTTGTAGTTGGTAAAAAATTAGGAAGAAGTCCTCCAAAAGTTCGACATTTTTTCAACAGGAGAACCAATCAAATATGTCTCCATTGAAGTTTATGGGAAAACATGATCTGACATGCGGACGTTCCGACATAAGGACAAGGTCCATGAACCAATTACATCCGCATCTCGGGGCCTCACTGTACATTCCTCATCGTATAAAAAATTCCTTCGTAAATAATCAAATAGTTACCGTGGGAAATCTCCGTGGAATTGCACGAGTTACTCAAATCTGAATTCATCATCAGCAAAAAATCGAATTCCAAGAGAGAACATTGAATGTTCGAAATTCAATCCATCATTCCTGATCTTATCGGATAATACAGTAAATACCCCTATTTACATGATTATCCGCTGCATGCAATTATTGGCCACACCCCGATTTTAGGTAGTGATATCAGGGAAACACATGACGGGGGCATTAAACAACTCGAAAACGTTGCACCACGAATGTGGCCGAGGGGGTGGGGCCTATAATGTGTAAAAATTGTATGAGTTTGAAATATAGCCAAGATTTCAGAATTAGCAGCGTACAGAAGTTAGTGCATAAGAAATTAAGCTTTTAAATACCCCGGGTTATATTATGCTGAATTTTGAGGTTATATCGACAAATTCCTGGAATAATCTCTGTACTGCACCGTATATTCATCCTTCTTTCTCATCTTTTGCCAGAAGTAAGAGAGGGGTAATTTTGGCAGGATTCCACCTGACCGCCTTACATCCCAGTCTCGGCATTAATTTCGAATTATCCAACGGGCAAGTTTATTGACAGTGTAGCATTTTTCTGAATATCATCAACCCAGTCTATGGAGGCAAATTCGGTCAGCTTTAAGATCATCTTTTCTCCCCCTCAGGCACAATGTTGGCACCAGCAAAGAGCTCTGTGTTAATATAGTTCTCGGGCAGAATGGGATCGGTCGAGAGCCGACGACAGCCCCTACTTAAGATTTGAAAAGCTTTTTCTCACGTACATACGTGTGTGTTTTTTTGTTGTTGAACCGAGTTTCCTTTTAGCGAAGTGTTGAAAGGTAGAATTCCGTGTGAGAACACGCGAGCGTGAAATTTAGCCAGGCGTGTGGGTTGGATACGTTCAGAGGAAAATGACGCTCGGTCTCGCGGAAATCATCGCCCGTGCAGGACGAGAAAGGAGTCCGCTTGTCCGGGCCGTGATCCGTTGAACTCCCGACTCGGGAATTTGTGTGAAGTCACTGTCGGCTGTTATTTTCGGGCCGACCGCGGAGTAGTGCACGAGCAATTAGGATGCAGCAATCTGTGTATGCGTAGCACGTGGGTGGGGAAAAATTCCGGCTCCGTCCGTCAGCTATTTCCATATTTTCCGACGAAAAAGCGGATTAACTACACTGTCATGTCGGGTTTCGGATTGCAGGTTTACCAGGTCCGAGGCGGAGGCTACGAGATCGTGAACCCGGGCAACAGTCAGGAGATGATCCCACGCATGCTGCATCGCCAGCGCCCGCTTTTGTTCAGCAGCGAAGAGGCGCTGGATCTGATTCACACAAAGGGGTTCACGTATAGCAGCCCGAGCCCTGCGAACCGCTTCCAGGACTTCATATGTCAGGTGTCGCTGGCGGACATCATGAAAGGCGGTACGTGTCGTTTCTTCCACTAACTACGCTCTATCCATGCCCCTCTCGATCCGACGCGTGATAGGCATTCCTAGGCAACTCACTTTCTCGTCGGATTGCGTTGACTTGTTTTCTCGTCGCAGAGCTCGAAGGCGACATCATTTGTAGAACGAGGTCCGGTAAGAATTCCTCGGTGGACGGACTCAACACGCTGATGCAGAACTCGTCCATTTCGCGGCTCCAACGCCACTTTTCGTTGCGTTTGCACGCCGCGGCGGCTTCAACGCTTCGGCGTGCCCGACGGGGCGGCTCCCTGCGCTCCTCGTCGGCGAAGCGGCCGGAGGTCAAGGACGCGTGCGTGTACCAAAACCACAACCTGGATCTGTCTTACCTGAAAATGGATATTACTATTGGTTAGTACCCCCCTCGTTAAGCAATTTACACTGATCCATGTCGTACTGTCTGACGGCCGCTGCGAGTCCTTGCGTGCGTATGAGAGTTGAGAAATCCGGGCTTCTGCTCCGGGACGTTGCATATTGTTTGAGGATGACGTGGTCATTGCTGCAGAACCGAGTGCAGTAAACGAGCTGTTTCCAGCGGCGAATATAATGAGCACTCCAACGATATGAGCCGGGAGATTCTTCAAATCTCGCATAACTCTACTTTTTTCCCGTCGATAAGTTGCCTGGTTCCTTCCCTCTCGAATCTTCTGGTACGAGCCTCAGGGTCAACGAATCCTGCCTGATGATAATAATAATAGTTCTTCGCCTGAAAAAGACCCTAATCGATCAAGTGTGTGTAGATTTCCGTACGATAAAATGCGTTTTTGAATTGGTAAATCGTGTAATAAAAGATTACCGTACTGTATAAATAATCTTCGATTAGGAACCTGTCTGAAGTGAATGTAGTGAATCCACATTGTACATTACGCTAATGCGATACATCTTGTGGCATACTTTTTAATGTGCCGAAGACCTTCAACTTGAAGTACACCAAGTGTTATACACAGGTCTACAGAGCTTTTTTTTTTTTCGAAGCACCTTTTCCCTTTTTTAGAACTGTTTTATTCCAAGAATGGGTTTGGTGAATGTATCACCCTGGATCGTGCGCAGTATAGTTTATCTTCCCAATTAATACATGCTTCGCTAACAAACAATCTGTTCCCGACCACTTTTTGTAAACTGGATCACACTTTTCCTTGAAAGCATCCGAAATGTTTAAATTGGCTTCAGAACCTCAGCAGTGCCCCTTGAAAAAGGAGAAAGAAAAAAGATTTCTAAGTAGAAATCTTTTTCCGATATCTATCATCCGAGAACAATTGTCAAGAAATTTTAAGAACCGCTTCATGTGTCAATGCTATAACACTCAATCTTGTCATTTCTGTATGTTATAACCTAGAGCCTCAGCTTTCTCTCTCAATAATTTATTTACGCGAAAGAAGACAATAGTTGTTGCGTCTCGAAAAAATTCTGTCAGTAGAAGACGCATATTTAGGAAACGTCATGCACGCTTCAACAAACGTTAAGTATAATAGCCTGTTCATGCCTCAGGTAGCAATCCCTTCAAAGACTTTAAATATAAATCGTGTGTGGTTGAGCAAGCTGAAGTTCACTGTAGAAACTAATGTATTAAGTGTCTTTCGAAAGTTAAATTGTTGTGCTCACGTTCCAAGAGAAATGAGACATCAAACCATGTTTACGTGCCAGTTTAGTTGATATTTCAATTATAGCCTTAAAAGGGTCATGGGTCGATTGTAAGATGATTCAATTGATTGTGGCGCACTTGGATTTTTCTTGGACTAGTTTTGTGAAAAATTGTATCATGTACAATGTTCGAATGAACGCGGCAATGAGTACTGAGTATTCCGCTTCTCAAGCCGTACAAATCTAGTACAATACTGTATTTGAACTGCAGTATTACTCAATTTTACCGTTCTTTGCAAAAATTGAAGTTACTTTGTTTTGTGCTTCGATCAGTTGAAATGAAATGAGTTAATTTAAACACGTTTCGTCTTTATTTGAAGTGTCAAGGCCATTTAATTGAATAGTGTTCAAGGATTATTAATTATTACCTATGTCGGTGAGATTGATTGTGTGCCGGTGATATGAGGTTTTTTTTTTTATCATGTACTCGTATCGTCTTTTTTTCGGTCGAGGTCGAGCGAACTGGATAAAAAGAGTTTCGAAATGTTACGCGTACGGGATTTTCTAATTTTGTTCATCAAGGGTGCTCAAGTCATTAAATATTTTGCTTTGGCTCACAGATGAGTAACGCTATGATAATACCGTACCTGAAGCCTTGCGCAATCGGGTTTGAGGTAATATTTCGTCATGAATCGGTCCGCAGAGCCCTCGAAGAAACCGTCACTGCTTGAGCGGATTTTCCACCCGCAACTTCGCCCACCGCTGGTCGAGTTCTCTGCACAGTTTCCGCCTCCGGAATGGGATGACCCTCGTCTCAGGATTCTCCACTCAGTCGGAACTCAAACTGCTCACACCCACAGTGCCAGAGAAAGCCCAGAAAGTGCTTTGAGGGTAAGTAAAGTATTTTAATTACTTCGCGATGGTAATCATCTTTGCCTTGAGCACGCCGACCATTACAACGGATTTACCTCATAGGTTGTTTCCTCTTCGCATGCGTAAAAGCTTTTTTTAACAGATCATTCGGTATTACCTACCAATCCTTCGCTCCATTTTTTTTTATATTTCAGCCAGTAGGATTCTCGTTTTTACCTTGACTCGCAAGTGCAACTGAGAGCATCAAGTATTTTATATCTAGCTTCATTAATGCCTACGCAGTCTTGGTGGGCTCTTATTTTCGTTTTTGAATCGTCTTAAAGGGCTTGAGAAGCCCAAAACACGCTCAAAATTCGGACCACATTTTTAAAAACCGGGAAGAATTCTAGTTATCTTGAGCTAACAAAATGTCTCGATGCATATATGCGATAAAATGCTGTCCTATACCGTCTTTATTTCATCGCCCTGAGCATTTTTCTTGAACTGCAGTGCGATGAAAAGTACTTCTATTTGCCGAAGTTAAAACACGAGAGCTATGTTTTTCAGCGGGAGGATCATTGGCATATACCGGGTGTGGATGTGTTCATGTCCCGAATGCGTATGATTGCATGGATCGGCAATGAAGAAAAATTAATCCATTTTCAGAATACTTAATTTTTTTATTCAAAGTTCGCAATTCTGTGACGTAGCAGAACATTTCGAAAATTTTTTTCAAGCTTATAATTGGAAGGACAGTTGGTGGAATCCCCAGAATTGCGCATACTGTAGTTCCATGCTTGACTTTGCTCGGGTAAAAATAAGTTCTCCGCCTTTTTTACAGTTTGAAGATTAACAATTTATTAAAATTGAAGACTTCATCTCAATTTGACCGATCGTTGGAGAAAATGACCATAATTAATTTTAGATTAGCTTGAATTGTTTTTCTGCGAGGGTTTTCGATTTTCCGTGTGTTATCCCTTTTTCACTTATTTTTTCACTTCGGCTTCAGTTTTGAAGTATACGGGTCTATATTACTACATCAGATGATTAAATTAATTGTCTGAATCTTTTCCTGTCTTCTACAATTGAATTTTCCACCCGACTGCCTTAGATGTCATAACATAAGATAACAAAAATAGAGTAGAAGAAAATCAGCCGCTGTTGCATCATCCACTTCTATTCATGCGTACTGGAATTTCTGTGCAATAGAGCATAAAAACATTCTGCTGTCTCATAAGGTCACGAAAATCTCCTGCAGTCATCAGGGTTGGGTAATTTTTTGCGGCAGTTGCTCTGAAACCTTGGGAGAAATCTAGAAAGAACAACATCATCAATATTGAGTCAAATATCAATGAATCTGAGAATTCTTTATGTACTGGAGGCTGCCCCGCCACCCTTCGTAGCACTTTTGTGTGCAACATTTCCTGGATGTAAGTTGAACAAAAACTAAAACATGAAATCATCAATTAAAAAAAATAAAAATAAACTGTGCGAAAGCGCCACAATATTTGACGGCTTTGGGAAATCAGACACTGCCATTGATGGAGAAAATATTTCCTTTGATGTTCTAGTGCGTGTTCGACCGCGGAAACGACGTACTGTTCTATTTCGTGATACAGTATTATATACAGTACCGTAAAATAAGTGATGACCTGACTGTGCAACATTGCCTTGCTTCAAGTCCGACCAGAATGGGTTGAAGGCGAATTCAAGTCTGAAAATCAAATGCAGTATTCCTTGACTTTTGATTGGAATTTCCTCGAATTTTTCGGCCATCGCATTCTAGAACAATACCTCGTATAGTGAGTCCTCGCACAACGAAATGGTTCAGCTAATTCGATACAATTTTAATTTTTGAATTTATTTTGAATCGAGGGACAACGAGAAAAGAAGTGTTTAATTGAGCATTTTTATGTGCATTGAAACTTTGAGAAATTCAGCAAGTTTGGAGCGAGATTTGCCAGGAATACCTCAATTTTTAGCTAAAGTATATTTAATTCACGACTCACTGCTGAAGAATACACAAATTTTATGGTTTATTGTGGTCTTTCGGTGAGCGGCTGGAACCAATTGAAGCACAATTTAATCTCAAAGGAAAATGCGTTTCGGCATACAGAAAGTTCTGCATTACGAAACTCATCTATGAATTGATTAATTCCGTTATGCGGGGACCCACTGTATTCCCCTGCGGTCGGGCACCTCCCTAAACCGTGGCAAGAAATCAGCACTCGCACTTCAGCGTGTTCCTTGTTCGTAGTCTGGAATTAGTCGCTGAACTTTCGTATAGAACTCCTGACGAAATGAAGCATGGTTTGCGTTCATTTGTTTAACTTTATGTACATATGCTTAATATAAATGAAATCTTTCGGATATAGGGACGCCGACCGACAGTACGGACTCGAAGAGACGAGCCAGGTTCCTTCGCGCGGTCTCGGTCACTTCCGTCGCGTATTCCACCGAGTGTCGCCGCCGTCATGGCGTCAAACCAAATCCAAAGTCGCGGCGGCTTCGGCGGTCCTTGTCCACGACGCCAAATGCCCCTGGACAGAACCGTGAGCGACTCGCGATCGCCGTCTATCACATCGCATCCTTACGCCCAACCCAAGCGCACTGGACCGCCGGTGGGATTCCAGCGTCAGCCGAAAGCAGCGTCGTTTTCGCGGCCGAATCCGAACAAAGTATCTCCTGTTCCCGAGACGCAGCCGTTCTCTGCTTCCCAGACCAAAAACTTGAAGTGTCCAAGTCTCTTGAGGACGATCCAAAGTCCGACCGTGGGATCGTCGTCGTCTTGTTCTTCTTCTTCTCAAGCTACGTCTTTGCTGGGGAGCAAGTATAATCCGATTATTCGAGTGGTGAAAATCGAAAGAACAGAGGAAACAACAAACACGACCCCTGGGACCGGGAACCAGCCGACGACGACTACGAAATCTTTCCGGAAAACTTCGTTTCCAACGCAGACGACGATCCAAGAAAACATACCCTTAGATGCCAATCCGAATTGCCGCTATAAAAAGGTCGGTCTCTACACTTTTTCTGCAGAGCACACGTACAGTGGGATTCTATCTTCATTACTTCTCCTTCAATCAACGTTGGAAGATAGTGGTTTCCGTACCTATAAAAAAATTCTTTCGTTTCTATACTGCGTCTGACGAAATCCAACTTTTTCAACTCTCGGGTGTTCCGTATGTCGAAATAGGTATTGTAACTCACCCAAGTCTGAAGAAGTTATGACTACGTTTTATACCCAATATGTTGCGGGGGAAAGTTTCGCTGGTCCCTATAGAATTTATTCATATTCAAGATCATGAATCAAGGATGCTGAATCCGTTGCGAAATTGTGTCTCGTCACCTTTCAAAGTTATATTTCATGGCTTAAAGGAACAGCGATCTTTGCCGAGGATTACTTCCACTTGTATATTTTCGCAACCCATCATTTCTTTGAAATACGGGAAGAACGTACTGTACAATACTTTCTAAAAATAACCATATTTACGCGTGTGCCCCATGCCCCCGTGTAAGACGCGCTCGACGATTTAAAGAGAAACGGGAATACTTCACAGGAATACTTTTATTCGTGGTGCGCACTTGTTCTTTTTTATTGACAAATTTTCGAGCGAAAACTCATCACCAATACGAAGGGATTCTTCGAACGTTCTCCGGCTTGCAGACTAAAAAGCCAGTGAAACTTGAAATTTCTGCGAAATTATAACATGATTTTCTGCGGTAATCCTTGAAGCGTTAGCTCTGTTTAACGTATTTTTTATGGATTCTGCGGCATTCTTCATAACTATAAATCCTGCGCCTACAATTGATAATTTAAAATTTTTTAAAGCGGCTCATTCGAAGCTGAAATCGGCTTTTCTTTAGTTTTAATACCTTTCCCGAGAATCGTAATTTCAGTACTTGGCAGAAAATCATGTAGGATCAAATCTGAGTACTGTATTGGAGTGAGAAGTAAAAAATGACATGAATAATAAATGCTTGAATTCGTGATGAATTTAGCTTTTCTCTGTGTTTGCAGGCTCATAGTTATCTTGCAGAAAAATATCCCGTGCACGATGATGGGCATAAGACGTGAAGAATAAATATTCCGTTCAAAAAGAAAAAAACTATTATATACTAATATTAATTAATAAATTCTCTGTTTTGCGTGAGCTACAGTTTTCTTTAAATAATGTTTCAAACACATTGTTGAGGTTGAGTCAGTCAGGAAGTCGAAGAGTCGTCACCGTTGCTGCTTACGTGTTGAATGGATTTTCGTCGTACAGTATTTGTTTAATTTCCGCATCTTCTCTTCGAGTCCGGGGATTTAAATACTGTATTTTCTAGGACGCCTGGATACGCAGTGAGATCGAAGAAGAAAGGACAATGTTTAAACTTTTTTGTACAGTAATTTCATGTCAAGTCGGGAGACTTTTGAAAATGCAGTAGTGTACTGTAATCTCGGTCGGTAGAGCTTCTGGTTCCCGTTTCAGTTCCTCGCGTTGAACGAGTGATTTAGCAATTTCTTTCCTTTTCGAAAATTAAAACCGGTACCTTGGCATTCTAGGTCACCATTGAGAAGTTCGAAGAAACTACAATTACAGAAGAAAGTGTGCTTCCACCGCCGGCCGTGAGAGGTTCGCCATTAGCCACCATTACGGATCCAGAAGTTGCTGTAAAAGTATTGACTCGGCGCGAATCTTGCCCCGCTGGTGGGTCTCAACGGCGTTATCATTCGCCTTACTCGTACCACAGACAGTCATCGTTTGCGGACGGATTGAAGGCGACTCCTAAAGGACCCTGTTTCGATAGGATTCCGTCCTCCCTGCGACAGACATCAACACCGCGGGTGCGTTAACCTTCTTCTGTCCGGCAATATTTCTGGGAACTTTGTATAATCTAAAGAAAGACCATGGGAAATTTTGTCATTGTACTATGCCGTAATCAGATAGTGTTTTTTTAAATTAACAGCTGCAAGCGGATGCGACAGTTGTGAACGAACCCACGGAGCCAGTGCCCTCTGAGAAATCGGCCATCACGCCGGGAGTTTCGAACAGCATTCCGTCCGGAATGCTGAGGACTTCGTTTATACCGGTCAGGCAACAACTCACGCCTTCGCCGGCACAGTCGACGGCGAAGGAAGACGTGCACAGCACTTTGCAGTCACCAGTTGCGGCTTCGGAAAACAACGTGGACCGAGTGAGGTCTGATGAGGACCACACCGAAGTCCCGCATGCGACAGCGGCCCGAACTTCGAGTGCGCCTCTTGGAATTTGTCTGAGCTCAAAGCAGACATCTTATCCAGGATCGAGGAAAGGACACGGGGCCATTTACGCGAACCCGTTGGCGGATGTTGCGATGTTGCAGGAAGAAAACTGGGGACAGTTTTCGTCTATTGTGAGTGTGGAGCCCGCGAGCGGCAGTGAGGGATATGGTAGTCGATCGTCCACTCCAAGCAACGTGAAGATTGCCGCCAATCCGGTGAAACAACCTAAAAAAGAACCTCCTCTGGAAACAGGGTATTTACATCTTGACTTTATACTTTTCTTTATGACCACTGAATGTCTAGCCTTGCAGCGTTTATCTTTTGTTCGTATTCGCGATTCATATGAGCTGTTTTAATTTGGATATTTTTACGAACGTTACTCCGCTTCTAATAAAGGCTGAGAACTGGACAAAGAAACACTCACCCGCAAGTTGAGAATTCACATTTTGATGCTTTTCAAATAGATAGGTCATGGATGACTACGTGGAAAAAGAAGTGCGGTATTTACGCGTGCTGTATATAAGCTGTATCGGTATCACTTTTTCCTTGAAAACTGGTGCATTTTGTTGCGTTGATTGAAAGAAGGTAGCCAACACTTGAAAAAAGGGGTTTCAGCTATGCACTTCTTGGATCTTCCGGAAGAAGCAACGATTTCTAGGATTTAAACACTTCTTAGATTTGGTCATTTTAAAAACTGCAGTGTGTTATTCGAAAACGTCTTAAATTTTCTGAGCGTGAAGACGTGCAACTCCTGCCCTTATTCTCTAAAAAAAAAAATTATAGCGCATCTGATTTTTCCGTGACGTAGCGGCCTTCATTCAGTTTGTGGCTTCTACTCGCAGAATGTTTGTACAGTACAGTAATATTTCATCGTGAGACTTTTGACGCGTCGTGTGCTTCCTGGTTTCCGCATCTTTTGGTAACATCCTTGCTGGTATTAGACGGGAAATCATGCCTATCCCTTTTTGTGATTCGCACTATGTTTTGCTATTTACCAGTCGACCTTCGCCTTCGGTCGGCCCGGATTCCTTCATCATGTCGCCTTCTCCGACCGGTCAAACGGACGACTCGAAGCTGTGGAAACTGTTCGTTCATCCGACGAACAAACCAGGCTGTTCATCAGCGACATCTAATGACGCGTCGGAGCAAGCTGCTCCAAAATCGCCGCTGCAGGCAACTTCTGCAGAGACATCTAGATGTCAGCAAAGTGTAAGTTAGAACGAACTGTGCTGGAAAATTCACCCGATTGAGTTTATTCTACCTCGTTATTAAATTACCGTATATTTTTAATTTGTTCGGCTGAAGTGCTGTAAGTGATAACTGATGAGAGACTTCGATATGCTTCAGCATCGATTTAAGTTTTTTTTTTTTTTTTTCATTCTGACGTAAGACTATAGACTAATCTGCGATGCAGATTTTAAAACAAAATACTTTATTGCGGCAATGTGCTGCAATAAGAGGATATTTTATTTCCCAAGTAGTTTGCTTTACTCTAATAACACAAGATTTGATAAATACCTGTAAATGAAATACAGACAGTTTTCAAAGCATAGTAGTTACAGTACAGATTTGATGCTTTGTATATTTGAAAAGAAGATAATCTTGAAATTGCAATTCTATTGCGTCTATTGTATATTGCTAATGTACTTACGTGAATATAAGCACACCTTTTTTTCAATTTAAGAAGCTAAAAGATCTTTTGGTTTGCTTCGCATATATATGCGATTTGCATGAATCTATAAGTACCCCCTTTTCCAATCTCCAAGTCACTGGGGCAATCAAAATAAATGGAAATACTTTGTGTTGATAAATAACATCTAACCATTATGTTTATTGAAATGCCACATCGAAGTGAAATATGCAGACAAGGGACACCATGTATGTTTCAGATGTCCTTTGTCCACCTTGTCTTGACACCGTTAATCCGCTTCTCGGGAAAACCTAAATTTAGTCAGTAATTTTTGGTTCCTTGACAGTCAGAATACCAGGGATGTAATGGGGTGCCTATATTCACCAATTGATTGAATCTTAATTTTGTTCATGAAAAATTGTAGGGGTGCTGATGATTGTGATGTTACCATGATTAAAATACGGTATTGTACTTCGATGTGATGCATTGTAGGAACCAGCTGTTTCGGACGGTGGCAGCACTGAGGCACAGCAGCAGTTCGAGTTCAACATAAAAATCAGCGGATACAGTCAACTAGATGCGTTAAATTCTCACCAAGTGTGTAACACTGACGTCATGCAGAAGCTTGAAAGTATCCACAATGATTTGAAGAGGAGTCAGAACGGACCTAGTGCTTCCACTTCAGTAGCGACAAATGACGCCGCTGTGCTTCCGCCGGAACCCATTCCGGAATCTCGTCCATTAGCGATCAACCGACCTAAATTGGCGGAGGAATTAAAACTGGTGCACAGGCAAGTGTATTTCAGCGATGGACATTTATTCTTCCCATCTGAAAGGTACTTGAATTGCAATAATTTGTCATTTGGGTGAATATCTGTCGAAAGCTTCCTTCTTGAATTTCAACGTCATTGATTCTGAAAGATTGAATGGAATCGAGTGATTTATGTTATTTTTTATGTAACTCGTCTTGGTTGCGGTATTTTGTAGCATTACAATTTTTATTGCGATTTTTTCTCGTTATTTTTGGATACAGTGGTTGATATTTTTTGTGGATTTTACGTACCGTTGATAGGTTTACCACATTTACGACGGCTCTCCGGTTCTTGCGTGAAGTACAGGCATTATTTAAAAATTAGGTTACCTTTGATCTTTAGATAAAGAGGAAGGTTAGTTTTACATCATCATGCTCATTAAAAGCGTAATTTTTACCCGATTTTGATAGCATCGTAAAAATCAGACGAAAATATCCCCCACGCATTCCCGGTTAACTTGGCTGTGATTTTTCATTATTTTCTGCGATGCGCAGGTGTTACTGAATACCAGGAAGATTTTCTGCAATATTGGCCAAAACAATTCGAATACAGTACAGTACAGTAAATTGAATGGAGTAAAGAAAGGATTGAAAATTATTAATCGAACTTACGATCATATTGTTTTCTGGACCAGGCGCGAAAGCCAGACGACGCTAGTGACGTTGCATGAAGTTATGTGTTACGCGTACGTGGAGAAGAGTGATGTAATTGGGTCGTGGAACCGATTTGATCATGTGCAGGAAATCACTAGGGGAAGAGTTGAGCGGATCAATCTTGTCAGTGAACATTCCGAAGCCTGGAATTTCCGATGCGCTGCCGCCTGAGCTGCCTGAGCATCATTACCTGAGTCTGAGTGATCTGACGGTGACGTTCAAATCAGTCGTCGGGCAGAAACTGCTGCAAGGCTGCAGCGCCAACAGCATTGACACGCTGATGGAGCTCGACCTGGCCGCGAGGAACAACTGCTTGCCGAAGATGCGGAATAGCCTGGTTCAGACGGATTTGGGCTTGATTTGAGCGCTTAATAATTGTTTTGATGTCTTGTTTGCTTGCTGCTGTGTCTGTGTGTGCGCGTGTATTCTATTTTTCTCGAGCAATTCGAGAGACGCTGCTGTTGATTTGATGATTTGCCTGCTCTGTGAAGGTCAGAGGAAATGTTGCCCTGTGGCTGTCCATATCGGGAATATGGATTTGCAGGTATAAAAGTCGCACGAAAGGATTTTTTTATATGCTTCTTGACGAGGTCTGGTCCGTGGAATATTTTATTTAGACACGGAAGCGACGTGGGATCTAAGTCTTCCGTACTTGGTTTTGGTACGAAGGAAATGCGTCTATCGTCAGCTGTTTTCTGGTCCCAGTGACGAATGCTCGTTTTCATTCGTTTAAATTAGAGATAACACTAAGCGCAGATTGACATGTGAAAACGGTGCTTATTTTCGAGGTGAAATTTATGTTAACGGCTTGATTTGGAATAAAAAATTTTCAGCGAGTAGCAAACTCACGTGTGTCGGGTTTTCTTGAAATCGTGGTACAGTACTAGAATAACCCACTCGTCACGACGTTACAAAACCATGTATTGTCCAGACAAACTGAAGCATTTTTTGGTTCTGGGAATTTTTAAATATGTAACACTTATGGCTGCAAACCGTCTCCCGTTTGAAAATGAGAATGAAAAAAGAAAATTCCGAAGTGTGTCGGAGTAGATTCCTCCAGCTGAAGTACAGCGAACATCTTGGGTTCAACAAGGATTGGAATGGGAAACTCGTCCGAGCAAACTCCATAATGCAGCCGGGTTGCTTATTGGAACAAATAAGTCACATCACGCTGCACTTCCCCTTCTCCGCCCAGGGATTGTTCTTCTTGTCCGGTGGGTTGATTAGCGGATCCGATTTCTCGTTCTCCTCCACGTATTCCCGCAATCTGAAAGGAAATTGTATCTGATCAGATGCAACAACACTCTACATCAGGATTTCTTCGATGCCGGGTGGTAAATGTTCATATGGGATTTCCTTTGTGTTATTATTCTTAAGGTGAGTTCGAATAATGGGTCCTGAAATAGAATGGTTCGTCGAGTATGTGTTCGAACAATTTACATTCAATCGAGTTCAGGTCAACTACTGAGAAATGATTTCTTCGTATATCATTGACACGACTGTTTTCTTCTCTACAATATGAACGCGTAAAATAGTTACAGAGTAGTCCAAATATTTGCAATGATTCAAGTGAAAGATTGACTCATTATCTTCCTGCCGCCAATGAAGAGTTTCAAGCATGATACTAAGCTGCGAAGAACTGTTACAAAAAATTGGCAATAACCCTCAGTTGCTTTTTTCTCTGGATTTTATTTTTCAATTCAGCATAGTAAATTGATAATATTGCTCAAGGTTAATTTGATTTGGAGAATCATTCGAGGGAGCCTCCATCCTCCATGTATTTGTTTAGTATGTCATTGAAATGCAAATCGGTTTAAAATCGATCCAATGTTCGTCCATACCATTTACCCAATTTCAGAACATAATTTCTGGGAATATACATTCGACAATCAGTAGCAGCGAGGCTTCTATTTGATGGGAAACCTTTTTTCTTCGAATATATAAATAATAAAATTGTTAGAAAAAATGCAGAATTAATGGCGCATGATACTCTATTGAAAACGCTACGTTTCTATATTTTATCTAAATCTGCGTAAAGGTTTCTCCTGCCCTTCATTTTTGGTGATGTAAAATTATATTTTGAGTTCCAAACGGCACCAGGAACGATCTGATCTGCTTCTACTTTCTCGAATCATCTGCCCTCTTCTATGAGCAATACTGTGCTGTAATAGTGTAATTCACTGCTTATAAATATTGATGAATTAAAACTGCGAGGCAAAATGTGTAGAATTCGTATTTTTCCGGAGCCATCATATTGCAGTATTCGAAATGACGGTACAATACTGTATATATGAGCGTCAGTATCGTTCAAGGAGCAGACACGTGCTGATACAAGTAAAGGGAGACGCTCTATGTTCATGAAATGTGTTCGCACTAATACGGCGGAAATGAATACAGTACAGTAAAGTACATACAGTATTGTCAGATAGCGCCTGATTGATGTAAATGTTTCCGCATCGCTAAAGATCGGATATTTATGCTGAGTCAAAGCTCAACTGCAACGCGCACGCGGTAGGGGGTCCGAGAATGGATCTGGAATCCGCAGAGAAATTCACATGCAATATGTGACAGGTGGTGCCATTTCTCCCCCCACCCTGGCGCACGTCCAACTTTCCCTGCGCTTCATTTAATACCGACCATAAGGTTCGTCGGTCGAAAAGGGAGGACGGAGGGTTTGAGCCACAAGCCAAAAGGCAGATCTGCTTTATAAGAAATGATCAAGTTACCGCCCCAAGTTTTCGCTTTTCTATGCTGATGACTGCGGACGCGTGTGAGCCTTATCGTTGTTCTCATTGATGGAACGCGGCAGCGGCGAGACTCGTCGTGGACCGGCTGTGCTGTCGCACATGTACGGTTTCCTCTTTGATCCGCCAACATCGCAGATACCCGGGGAAAGAATCGATAATGCTTTGTTTCTTACCTTCGGGCCGATGCTCCTTAGAGGTATCCCGGCACACGCGGATAGAATACCCCCGTCTCGGGAACGCGCTGAAATTTCATTTGCCCGTTGTGTGCCGTGCACGGATGTGTTCTTGCTGGTGCTGCCCGAATCCGGGTCAAGCAGGCGGGAAATCTTTTTATTTTTACCTCCCAGCTTTTCTTACCTCTTTTTTTTTCGGCGAGTGTATGAAGCATGACGCGAAATAGGGCACGCGGCTTGTTCCCGGGAAGCAACCCGGCAAGACAGGCTAAAATTATTCCGTCCCGGAAGGCCGGGAACGTGAATGGAGAAGAGAAAGCCCAATTCCGGATATGTATTCTGACTTCATACAATATTTAGCACGATAAGTCGACGAGCTTTCAGAGCGATTGAGTATTTCCGGTTAAAGCCCCCATCTTCGATCTTTCGGAGAAATTATCTGAATACCGCATTAGCGCATTCATAAGTCGTAACCTGATGACTTCTGACGTCGATTCAATATGGAGAAAACTACATAGTCCACGAAAATGGAAGTTGATGGATGGCTTGGAGGAACATTCTGACACATGCAGGATAATAATCTCGTTGATTTTTTCGGTAGAACATCAAAAAGGGGAGATCAGAATTGTTTGAAGATAAGAACTCGATGAAAACAAGAAAAACCTCCAGGGATAGAAAACTGGAGGATTTATTTTATGTGCTCAATGAGTTATGTAAATGTTAATGTTCTTATCTAATTTTGTTGCCGATTTAAGTTAATTTCTAGCGAAAATTACCTTTTTCGTATATTTGAGACTGCGCAGTGCGACCTATGCTCGAATATCTTGATGCCTACTATCAATATATTCAAAATATTTATAAATATATATATTTTTTGTGAGAAAACGTTCATTTCAAAGCTTGAGCATCAAGAAAGACGCTCACTTTTTTTCAGAAATATGCAAAGCGCTGGGGCTTCCTTGTGCAGATTCATGAGGGATTTCCATCAACTCATACTCATCAGGCGAGAACATAATATTATGACGTCGAATGAGGAAAATTGACAATTGTGTTGTTCCTCCGGGCTACTTTCCTCGCAGAGAAACTTGGCTAAGAATTCATGAAGGCGTGGGTTGATGCCTACATGGCCAAGAAAGGAAGACGCAGCAGAAGTTAAGTTAATAAAGCGGGTTATTTTGCAGGGGATCTTCAACCCAGGCTTCATGAAACTAGTGCAATCGGAATAGGGGCCGCTTCCACATACTGTGGGGCCTTTTGTGCTTTGGGGAAATTGCCCCGCACTTGAGGAACGTCGGGGCATTGTTTGAGATTCCCGGAAGCTCGGTCGGGATGCTGGAAGTATTCTTGCACCCTGGAGGTTTCGCTTCCGGTCGGGTTTCGCAAAAGGCATATCCGCCACTATATGATGTGAAGTTCTTGAGCGACGTTCAAGCTGCAGACGATCGAGGGAAAATTAATGTGCTACCAACACGTCCCGAAATCTCTAACTATTTTTCATAGCATTAGGCGTAATTCATACTCGGCAGAATCCGCGATCCGCCGCGCTGACAGTTCTCGCGAGAGGATCTTGGAAAGTGAGGGTGCTGTGGAACATCTTCGAATCCGAAGGAAAACTGTGAAGGGATATTTATGCGAAAAAGGAAGAAAATAAAGGCTTTTGGTTCGAGAAGGATTTCCCTCGTGAAATCGCTAAAGTCGTGGCACGGAAGCAGAAGCATTTTTCATCCGTCTTCGCGTCACACGTTCAATTCCATTCCCTGAAGACGGCCGGGGCTTCATGTGAGCTACAGATTACTTTAAAAAGCAAGGGTAAAATGTTGTGCCACCGAGAACACATAATATTAATTCTCAGATAAATAACTCCATACAAACTCACGCATTTATTCGCAGTTTTCCACACGCATTACGTATATAGAGCGATGATGGCGAATAATTAGTTTCTCAATAGAGCCCTCTCGTGGGAGCAATTTTTCCTACAATGATATCATCCATACGATGGATCCTCTTCTGTCCCCAGCAGACCTAAGCCTCTCATTAGAGTACCAGGACGTGCAGAGGAGTGGCGCGTTTATTGAAACCAGTCGAGGTTGGAAATGAACTATAATCAAGGTTGCACGGTCACTATACATGTACAGTACCGTACTATAATCTGCTTTTTGAATGACCTGGTTGATTGGGGAGCACAATCTTTCAAAGAGTCGTTCTAAGAGCTGTCAAAAAAGCTGGGTCTCTATCATAGTCCTAGGAACATACACTCGTCTTGAGAAATCGAAAAACTTGATAAAATCTCTAATGTTAATTTCGGAAGCTCAATTGAAAACAATCATCAAGTTTCTATGCGTAATTGACAGTACGTATTTTCTATTAAAAGCTTTTTCATGTCACGTCGCTTATGTTCACTCGATTTTCGAGTTATTAAAGAGTTTTGTCTGCTATTCATTGTGATGGAGGAACTACAATCTTCCATCTTTTAGATATGTAATGCAAAGAGAACAACTGCAAGAATTCATTGGAAAAAAGAGACGAGAAATACATTATACTCGTATTAAAAGTGTCTTAGGCTAATTTTCAACAAAAGAGGGACATTGCGGAACTCACGAAACTAACAGAATGCAGGTATAATGCTGTAAAGAATTTTTGAACATCATTTCAGGTAGCATTTCAAAATGTTAGCTTTTTGGCCGCGGCAGCTGCTCAATTCTTTTCAACAATTTTAAAAATCTGAAATTTTCGGCGAAGTGTCCATATTTTGAGTTGATTTCCAGGTTTTTTGAGAGTTCATTTTGTTCCCAGTTTAAATTGTCCATGGTAAAAAACTCCATGAGATACGTCATTTGTATGTCAGTAAAATGTATAAATATAAAATGTCTTCTGACTGCTCTTTTTGTTTATTCTTGTGAATTAGCCGCGGAGCCCCTTTGAAG